CATATTATTCTTTCTCATCTTTCCCTCTGTTCTTCCTAGCATTCCACACTGTTGCTTTTCCACTGTCTTTAGGTTACTTGAAATCATTGCCTCCCCACAACGTGGGGGAAAAGCCGCATGGTAATATTTCAGAGGTTAGCTTAAAACAAAAAGTGCAGCTAATTTATAAATGGCTTTCAGACAAGCACCTTCAGATAACATGACTGCCTTCATAAAGGAAGGAATAATGGCTGATCAGAATAAATCAGATAATCCATAAAATCCCTGGTGACACACACAAAAAAAAAACAAACTTTATTAATGTGTGTATAGTTATTAGGCTTTCGATCTGGCAAAGTAAGTGCTTCTTATTAATATCCCAGATCCTCAGGAAACATGAGGATTCAAGACCTTCCCTCAAACCAATCTGATACCTGAAGTGACCAAAACTGAATCCCCTACTTTCCTGTTTCTGTAAGCCCACGTGTTTGAAAGCCAGCGGAGCTGAGCATCATACATATGTGATTAAGCTGCCCTGCTCATGTCTCAGGTGGGAGTGGGATGGGGGCAAGCAGTGGCTGCTACCACTGCACGGTGTCTCCCAGACCTTGTGTTGGTGCTGTGGGAAAAAAGACTTTCAAGCTGATTTTTTTTTTTTGTTTGTTTCAAGCTAGCGAGAGGTAGTTCAAAGGCAGTTACTTTTATGGGCAAGAAGGCTTTATTTTCAAGCCTAGTCAGAATGAGCTCTTTGCTGAAATAAATTACTGTCATTGCTGGCAGCTTCCCCACAGTAAGACTTGATTTTAGGACTGAGAAAGCCTCTAATTTGTTTACAGCCTTGCAATTACGAATGTTTTTTAACAAAATAGCATTTTAGAGTAAATTTGAATAAACATTATTCCCACATTAAAGTGGTTGTTCAGAAAAATGGAGGGGAAGGAATATAGAGCAAGACAAGCTATGCACCACTTGTTTTGAGGGAAGAGCTTGTTTGTCTTTTTGTTTCTTTGTTCTTTTGACCTTGCAAACCACTTAATTGGCAAAAGCTAATAATAGATGCCTGGTCCAAGCCATCATGAAATGCACCGCACAAAGGTGTTCATTAGGAAATGTGAGAAACTTGGCGAATTCCTGGAAAGTCGTGTGTTCAGGGCTGTTTGTAAGAAAGATGACATTTTGCATAATTTGGAAAAGGCAGGAAAATGTGCTAATTGCAACAGTCTTGAAAGTGAGCGAATGTCATAGATGGTTCTTTGTTCACTGTCTGCTCCCTCCACACACTTGTGAATTGTGTGAAAGCAGAAGATGCATCATCTTCACCCAACAAGCCCTTAAAACCTTAGAATCACCGAACAGTTTGGGCTGGAAGGGACCTTAAAGACCATCAAGTTCCAGCCCTCCTGCCACGGGCCTGGACACCTCCCGCTAGATCAGGTTGCCCAGGTCCATATAACCTGGTCCCATCCAACCTGGCCATGAACACCTCCAGGAATGGGGCATCCACAGCTTCTCTGGGCAGCCTGTGCCAGTACCAGCTCACTGAAATGCAGTACAAGAAAATAAAAGCCTTACTTAACACTAGCAGGGATGCCAGATTTAACATGTTAAAATACAGGATGTAAAAAAGCTGTCTCTAAAAAGCTGTTCTGTTGCCACCCCGTCTCTTCTAGATCGTGAGAAAGTACCACTGACACTTGCTAAAAATGGCTTTGGGCCTGTGTCCTTTCAGTTCCGAACCAGACTTTCACCACCCGCGTAATGAAAGCCTGTGGAAGGGCAACTGCAAATTTTCTTTATACTTTGAGATGCATAAGGAAAGGCAGCTTTGTTGGGTTGCTTTGAGTTCCTCTGCCATGCCTGGAGCTGAGGAAGAGGAGCTGTACATCTGATCTGTGCAGGACAAGGACTCGTGTGTGTGCTGTCCCTGCTGACACAGGTGACTCGCACTCTAGGACAGGTAATGTTATCACCTGGGGAGCAAAGCTGGCCATGGGAGTGGTGGGGACCCGCACAGAAGAACCTAAACCAGGACTGCGTGGCCTGAATTTGGATGTTTTGCAGGCTCTTTTTAGAAAAGGCACTCATCATCCTGGGCAGCGCACAAACCACAACCTCGAGCAAGTTCTGGATCCCAAGCAATTACCCTGCTCCTATAAAAAGCTGAAACATACTTAGGTCGATATTTTTAGACTCCTCATTTTTTTTTTTTTTTCCCCACATGTAAGAAAGAAAGCTACAACGTATAATCATGGGGGAGAAGGATCTTGTGTGTAGAGCCACCAGCCCAGCTAACTGCTGCCCTGGGAGGGGCAGGGGAGCTTCCCGGCAGAGCAGCTGCGTGCAGGAACCACGTGGAGTTTGATGCCCCTTTTTGGCAGGGACTGATGGTGTGCAGAACTTGATTTGCTAAATCTGATGCTCAAGATGCATCGATGCACCCATCAGTCTTATGGGTAAGGCTTGACAGGCTGTGATTTAAGAAATTCAGGCTTGAAGTCCCAGTGGTGCTGCTGTGTTCAAGGGTAGGGCTGGCACCTGTAAAGAAATCATGAGGTTGTTTCAGAGGTTGGTCTTCTGACATAATTGTTAGGTTTACTGTTCGGTCTATTTACCTGAGACCTCAAAAATGGGGTTTTATTCCCTGCTCCGTTACTGGCCTAGGTGATTATTTTGAGCAAGTCACTTCAGCGCTTAAGTTTCCCTGTCCTGTAACAGATAGAGCGAGTGCCATTGGTTTTTCCTACTGCTTCAGGATTAACACGGTAATCCTGATTGATGGATAGATAATCCCATGTGCTTCTTCAGTGCCTGTGGTGAAATTTTATAGCAATTCCTAGACTGCATCAGGTTCACTGGGCACTGCTCCTATTAGAGGGTGACTGGCTTTAATATTGCTTCTCTATTTTAATGTAGTTGTAGCATAGTAGGCACATTTGGATCGTGAATAAGCTAGATGTTACTGCTGAAGCAGAAAGAGTGAAGAAAGGGTTGGGAATGGCAATTAAAGTGTCTTCTGTTGGCTTTTATGATACATGCTCCACAGATATGAATGGGATATTTCACAACTCAGACAGTTATGGTTTCATGCTGGGTGCTTACAGGAGCACAGACTGATTTGAAATTAGTTATCTCTGCATCCAAACAGGCAACAAATATAGTTCAAAGTGAAACCTCCTATTTTGGATCATAGCGTTGTGGGGAGAGGTAGATTCTGCAATAGAGCAATTAAAGAACAGAAGAGACTCGGGCTTAATTAGCTTAATTCTGTTTGACCAGATTTCAAAACAGATGGCATTTGAAATTATGACAACAGTGGCATTCTAACTCACAAGAGTGTGTCGTGGAGATTGGGATAGGGATATGTAGATAAAAGACAAGGGAACAAGGTCTAGGAGACAGGGAAAGGGGACAAAAGAGTAAAGTATTTTGGAGAAAATTTACAGAACAATAACATTTCATTCTAATCACCTAATGAAACAAGGCATCTTTAAAGTTGTGATAACCAGCTGTCAGTGTGTTGTGCCTACATGTACAAAGGCTGCTCCACTTAAACTGTAAAACTTTTCCCAGTCTTTTTCCAGTGTGAAGTAAGGGCATATTGACAAAGGTGATTTGTGATACCTAAAATCTCTTCCACAAATGAACAAGTTGCATGGCAAAGGCAATTGCTGATAGTGCAGCTGCATTTAAAATAGGAGCTCGTTCCTCAGTTTGTTATATCCCTAAGTAACATCGCTATGCTGCTACAACTCTTCAGTGCAGGGAGTATCTTATTCCCCAATGGGACGTACGAGAATGTTTATTTTGGTAAGGATTTTGCCAGGATGACTAAGGGATGTGTGTTATGCTCAACCAAAATACAAAAGCAATGTACAGACCAAAACCTAGGCGTTTGTGCAGGACTCTTCTGCTCCACCCTTCCCCAAGCCTGACGTGGCTATCAATCTTGATAGTTTGACCTCGCATGCTTAAGATGTGGTGTATAATTTCCAGATACATGACCTAGTTACTTGTTGAGCCCACGTCTCTGCTTGGGGCTTCTGCTGGCCCTGCTGCTTGCCCATCAGAGATGTGGAGCAGTGCCGCTGGCTCGGTGGCTCTGGCTGAAGGCCATGGTGAAGATGCAGACATACTCAAGTGTTGTGCTTTTTGCTCCTGTACAGTGTTTTCTTCTCATAGCTTAAAGTCAAGCTTTGCCAGCAAAATTTGCACGCAAGGAGCGTTTCAGTGATGTAGAGCTCATTACGCACCCTGGCAAGACACTCCCCGTCTAGACACTTCTATCTCTGCTTAAATGCTGAAGGTGTAAGTCACTTGGAAGAAAAGGAATGATAATTGTGACAAACAGTCATAAGTCCATTGCAACCTATCTCTTCAGTGCTGGAAATAGTCATCACCACGGTGTTGTCTGATCGGCGTATAAAACCTGTAAGAAGCAGTACTGTTTATGTTTACATTATTCTGACTTTTTACCACTGCACTTCAGGGGAAAAATCTGAAAGGCTTGTGGTTTGGAACGGGAAAGAGAGGCATTTTCTGAAACCACTAGATAATCAAATTAAAAAATATTTTAATTGTTCCAGCCCTAGAGCCAGTTTTGGGTAATATGGGGCCAATTAGATTATTAAAACCACAATTTCTGATCACTATCAATTATTCTTATTGCTTGGGACAGCCCAAACCTTTGGGAAGATAGTTTTGATTAGGTATCTACAGCCCTTTCACCTATTTCTGGTAGCTGCATGATTAAGGGGATGCTTCATTAATGCCACAGTTAAATATGATACAGTCACTACTTTAGATGAAGTTATCTTTAAATAGGAAGGAAAAAAAAAAAACACAAACACCCACCCCTTTGTTTTTTAATAGGAGAAAGTAGGTCTGGAAGGCCCACTGAAGATTGTCTCCATATCCAACAGATGTAAAACTTTTCCCTAAACCAAACTCTTAGTATTGCACAAGAAGTCAAAATCCATGGTTGTAGCATGCTACAGAAAGAGAGCAAGAGACTCAGAACATCATCAGTATCATAGTGACTTTTTAATTTATTTTTTTGTAGAAGCTGAAGGAACACTGCTGTTTCAAGCAAGAGTTACATGGTGTCTTTATTTCTACTGCCCACTCTGTCACTTTTGGTACCCCAGCTGGTTAGACCTGTAGTCATAGTCTGTGGCCCTGGTGAGGTTCTTCAGGTGTGGTGCTGCTTGTTGTGCTTCACCTGCAGGGCTGAGACCTGCTGGGACCAAGATGCCATGGGACGATTAAAGTTGTCCATATACTTCTGGATTTTATTTATCTTAAGAAAAATAAGTGAGCACAGTGTCATATGTGATTATGAGGCTGAAGAATTTGCGCAGGTGTCTGAGGCTTTAAGATACTCTAGGGGTGTGCCATGTGAACTGAAAGTGGTGTAGAGATGTCCTAACTCCTGAAGGTAGGTAGGTTTGTAGAAGTAAGGTTTTACGAGATCAGCTGACATGGCTGGAAAAAAAAAATTGCAGACAGGTGATCTAAGAAGTCTGTGTATCCAAAAGCTTGTCTGCTCAATGATATCAGTTGGCTGAATAAAAAGATATTATGTTCTTCTCTGGAAGCCTTGAACCTGCTTTATCCTCAGACCATCTTAGCTATAATAACACTATTTCTTGACTGGTGACTCTTGCAGGTTAGGATGGTAATTGTATTGGCAGGAAGTGCAGCTTAGCAAATGGAATTTTTGTGAGGGGATTTTCTGCTCTTTTTTTTTTTTTTTTTTTTTTCCCTTGATGATTAAATTTCTACGGCGCTTAAACAGCATGTATTGCAAGAGACCTGGGTAAGTACATATCAATGCATCTTGCAACATGCAAGAAGCTACAGACACACTGCAGCATCTCTAGCGAGCAAAACAAAACCTCTTTTTTCCTTAAACATTTAATTGTGTGACTGCTCATGGTGATGAAACCAACATATGTTGCGCTTCAAAATCCCAACAAATACATTTTTTTAGTTTACAGTCAAAACACAGTTGAGTTGCAACATATTTCACAGTTCAACATGAATATCAGTAACTAAAAGAGATCACTACTTGAAAGTTGTATGCATATGGATAAATGATATATATGAATGGTATATCTGTAAAGAGGTAATGCGATTGCTAGGAACTGAACATATACACTGTGTGTATTTTAAAATCTTTGGTTTGGTATTTTCTAAGTCTCAGGAAATCTACTGAGAAATTGTTTAGCCCCTTTGTCCTTTGTATTGTATCAGGACCACGGCTGGTAGGGAAGAGAGATTAGGCAGCTTCCTACTATCCAGTGCAACAGCTCCCTTTCCTTTGAAGGTACTGCCTGCCTTTTTGTAAAAGGGGAATGAGCCAGTGCTGCTGCTCTTCTGCTGTGGGTATGCATGACTAGGGAACAAGCTGTGGCCCCCAAGAAAGCTACCTATTACTACTGTAGGGTAGGGATAGATTACTTCTCATCTTCATCCAGAGGGAAGGAAAGCAGAAATTCTCTTATTTGTAGCATCATGCAGGTGGTTCTTGAAACAACCCATTTGTTTGTCCTTCTCAGGTCAGAGTACCTCCTCATCCAATGTTCTGTTGAAGTTGTTTAAACAATATTGTTTGTCATGTTAATGTTTTTTGTTACACAAGTGTTGGCTGTAGTGTTTTAGCTTTTCTTTTAGATGTTCTTACCCAGTCGTCAATGAACAAAGTTCCTGACAGTCGTCTGTGGAGAGTGGCTCTACTTCACTGCCCTGTTTTCCAGATAGCCAGATGACAGAGAGAAAAGAAGAAGTGGTGGGAACAGAAAAGCTCCGTGAGCAACTTCCTAAACAGGAAAGATCAGATGTACAAAGCCAAGATCGTGCTAGTACTAGTCCGGTGCTACCAGAGTCTGCCAAATTTACAGCACTGTAAGGCCAGTTTACTTTACAATTTTGTACTTCAAAGATATGATGTAAGCTGTTTTGTTTCATTGAGTAGAAATGACATAAACTTTTAATTAACCTCTCTTTCTTTTTGTTTTATTGAGAACAAGAAAAAAGTTCCTCATAGTAGTTTTGAAACATTTTTGTGTCAAGTTACCAGGGCAACAGGCAAAGGCAGATAATCTACCGGGTAACTTCTCAGCAGGACAGTTCTGTCTTGCAAGTAATAAGTGGACCTGAAGCATCTGTACAAGATGAGCTGTCCGTGGATGCAATGCATGTGTTCATAGATGAAAACGGTGAGTTTCTCTAGTTGGAATAAGTGCAATATGTGAAACAATTAATTCTGAAACCTTTAGACTCCCTAGAATTGTATTTCTCTTCTTATCTGTTACTGATTGCTTGTTTTCTGTGTGTATGATAGAAAATGGCTTAGTAAGATCAGTAAATTTACTGTTGATCAGCAATAACGAGAGAGTTCAAAATTCAACTAGGCACAAACCTGAGGTATGCACAGTGCTGTATCTGCCAGAAGTTTGTCTTCCAAACATTACCCTCGAGAAGTGCAGGTTTAGCTTTGCTTTTGCAGAACCTCTGGCACTTTCTGCCTGGGGAGGACGGGGGTGTGAAAGGAGGAGGGTCTGTATGAGGATGGCAGGGCAAAATGTTCCTCTTCTTTACTGTTGTGTTCTTCAGCTGAGCATGAGTAGGTGCTGACTCAGGCTGAACTCTGGTAATGCTGTGGTTGCTCCTGTTCAGATTCGTGGTCTGCCATCTCTTTCAAGTGAATTGACGAGTGAACTAGTTTCTCTCAACGCTTGTGCTGGAGCACAGTTGCTCTGCAGCTATTACTGGAGGTTGAAGCTGTAATATGCGTGGTGGTGGTTTGTTTGAACTCCACGTGGAGCCCTGTGAGGTCCTGGCCAATACCTCTGAATGGCAGCCATCCCAAAAGCTGTGTTTCCTTTAAAGCTGCCTTCAAAACCAGTGTGGAATGAATACTCCTCATAGCTGGGATCCTGATCCCAGAGTTTTTTGGTTTTCTACCGACTCCTCATGGCCCTGCTCGCAGCCTTACAGCTGCTCCTGATGTGTTGTGTGTCTAAGAGCAGCAGAACATCATGGCCTCTGGCTGAATGAACAGTGACCCTTTGCTTCTTGCTGGGTGTGCAAGGAAAAAGTAACAGTGGCTATGCTTTTAGCAGAATTTTTCACTGCTTTGTACCTCCTGACCTCACCTTTGTGAACATAAAGAACAATTCTGTTTTGTAGTGAGCTTATGTTCATATATAGGCTTTTTACATTTACTTCACGTACCTTTTAATGATGGTGTAGTCCTTAAGACTCTGATGAATCTGTTTCAATGGATGCTGTTTTAATTTGGCTTCGCATCATTCTTGTGCCCAGCACTGGAAAAAGAGGTCAAATCTTCACTGTAATCTGTGCTCTGATCTATCTGAGGTTTTTAGTTGTTCAAATGTTAATTTCATTTCTTCAAAATAAGCCTATTATGAAAAACTATATTTAGGTTTAGAAATGTGCCTGATCTAAGATATATTTTGATAAATTTTGATGTGGAAAAAAAACCATCATATAACTTAACTGTTTTTTTTTTTTTTCTGTTTATTTCGTAAAGGGGAAATTAGATCCTGTTATTTAAAGGCTGGATGTCAGAAGGAAGGAAATTTTCGACATCAGATATCAAATTGTGATTGTATTTCAAATGCTCAGTAAGTAAGCCCTTATTTTTAGAAACGTTAAGAGCTTTCATTGCTGGAAGCTATGAAGCAGATTGTAACTGTGAGAGATGCGTGTGAAGAAGAGAGCTGGAGGATAAATGTGTTAACCTATTCGAGAGATGTCAAAACATGCAATTTTATTCTGTACTAGAACAATGACTGCTTTATAAGAATATCGATAAGGAAAAGTGAAAAGGAAAACCAGCACAAGTCAGTGAGGTTTTCATTACTATCTGGGAAAAGCCAAAGTCAAGTGTGGTGATATAAACAAGACAAGACAGTAAATAAAACAAGGTGAGAGACTGTTATCAGGTGTTCTCTCAACTTGAATTGTCTTGCTCATTTCCCTTACCTGTTGTGTTCTGTCAGTATCAGCCCGTGACTCTATTTCCTCTGAACTTGAGCAGCAGAGCCTTTCGTCTTGCATGAAATCTCTAATGATAATTTGCCATTCTGAAAAAGGTATCTGAACAATTTTCAAGGTTTTTTTTTGAGTGATGGCGTAAATCCCACATTCACTCTTGTGGTTTCTGTTCTCTGATGTATTATGTTGTTACGCATGTTTGCAAGAAGAATTTTAACTATTGGTAAGTATTTTTATTAAATTATATGTTTTTAATATTGTTGTAGAGAATTTGGAACTGTCGAGCTAGGGGGTGAGAGGGGTTGTTGTTAATAGCAAATATTGTTCTTAAAATGTTTGGCTTTTGGTGGAGACTTCTGAAAAGCTCAGGAGTATGTTAAGAACATGTTAACATTTTAGATAGAATGCTGTTAGGATAGAGATGAGGATGTTTTTTATTTTCAGTAGGTGAAGACTTAAAAAAACTAATTAATAAAAAACTGGTTCCATCCACAATATGTTCCATTTCTTTAGCAAAATGGAGGGACAAAAAAAAACCAACAACTGGTAGAATTCTGTTTTGATTAAATATCAAACATTTTGTTTTGGGGTTACTTAACTCTTGCGACTTCTTTTTTTTTTTTTTTTTTTTGATTGACCTTGTACAGGATAATGCCCTCCCCTCCCCAGCCCCAACATAGTTACATGGATTGAATCTGTCCTAAATTCACAAATAGTTTAAGGTCCCCTGATATCTATCAGTTAATCTGCTTTTTTGAAAAGAGAACAATCTTCCTTCTCTTATGCAAAGTCCTTCTAAAGCTGTCTACTAGATGTTTATGTAACATCTGTATCTTGCCATACCCCATTAAATGCAGTTTTTTAGTTTGTGGTTTGCAGACCTCTGGAAATGTGAGTTACTTTTAAGGAGTCTGCTAAATACTATTAGCAAATGCAAGTCCAGATGTTCTCTGCAGTCATTTTCATGCATTTAATTTATAAAGACCAGTACCTTTGCTGGAAATCTTGGAGTGTAGTAGCAGTTCAGACTGAAACAGAACAAAGCAGCAAAGTTCAGTGTGTTCCCAGGACTGATTTTGTATACGAATGGGAAGGGAGAGCACAAGAGCTTTTCTAAGAACAGAGCAGCATGAAGGAAAGTACAAAGCAGAAGTTCACATGAAAAACAAGGAAGGAGAACCAGGAAGCATGAAGCATGCCCAAAGCTGTTTTTGCAAGGGCAGTTAGTAATATGACTAGGCCAGAGAAATTAATGAGAGCTGTTTGTTCAAGCAGGCAGTTCCTACCATCTGTGCATTGATTTAAGGGTAGCATGGGAAAGAAAGAGTTTTCATTTTCTCCTCAGATGCTCACCATCAAGTAAGCTTGTACTTAGATGTTATGGAACATTTCTTGCCTATAGAAAATAGAGGGGCAAATCTGATTAATCGTCCTTAAAAACAGTTCAGGAATGAGGCATCTTACTTTCCTTGTTCCCTCCTACCTCCACCAGCAGGTATGCACACCAGTTATGTCAGGTTGGTTTCTTGGCTATGGTTAAAGATAAGCCAAATAGTCACAGTTATCAAATAAAGATATTTTCATTACTACACAAAAAGGCAAATATATATAATAATAATAATAATAGTAATAAAAAAGCTCAAGGCTTAATCAATGCATGTTTCAGTTACAATCTCTTTTGTATGTCTCTGTGGAGAGCTCTCCAGAGAAATTATTCACTTGAGGTTGGCCTTCCTTTGATAGAAATGTTCGGTATTAAATAGATTAAGATTACAGTATACATTTCCCCAAGCCAACAGCAAGCTATCTCTTGTGCTGTCATTGTGAAGGATAGGAGGACTTCCTGGTATCATTTACATACCCCCTGTGTTTTTTGCGTTGTTTCTTATGAGAAGTCCATACCAACAGAAGAGGCTGCTGTTATGGAAGAGTAGTGGAAAATAGCTTAGCTTATCTCCCAACCCATTGGAGAGTTAACTAAGGAGAAGACAATGGCTCTGCAGTGCTTCTTCATGAGTATTTGAGGTGGTGTAGAAATAACAGCTTTAAAATTTGTATATGAATGCAATGGTGAGCCATCCAAATTAAATTTTATGCGCTCAAAGGATGTGGGAGAAAATTAGTACCTGGACATAAGAGGTAGCATCCTCCTTGAATAGGAGGGATAGGGTTTTGATCTCAGTGAGCTCAGATTGCAGAAGCTAGAATAAGATGGTGGAGAAAACATCTAACAAATCTGCAGTAGAAGTGTATAAGCTTTTAAAACACTTATCACCAATCACGTTGTCTCTACTATGAAGATTAAGCTGCTCCTAAAGCAAAAACATCAAACTGAGTTAAGCCAGTGAAGTAACTGCATGGATGTACATGGGCTGTGCCCTGATGCACCTCTGTGAGGTGGAGAACCAGGGACATTGCTCCAAGCTGGTGGTGGCAAGAGGCCCCTGGCTTTGTGGCTGTTTTGGGGAGAAGCGGTAGAGCACAGGTGCTGTCACTCCTGGGGCTGTGGGACTTCTGGGCAGTGCTGCAGCTTGTGAAAGGGGAAGGGGTTTTGACTGAGGAGGGTGTGAACCCTGACTGGTCTGTCGAGAATACAGTAAGTAACATATGAATTGGCCGAAGGTAAATATACCTTTTGACTAAGTCAAGCAAAACTGGATAAAGTATTTAAGTCTATGAAATAATATTTAAATATGACTTGAAAGAAACCATTAAAAAGAGCCTTGAGGCAGACTAACTAATGATTAACAATCTTAAATTCAAATTACAACTCACTGTTTCTGTCTATTGAATCCCACTGTTGTCTGCTCCAGGAGTAAAGTCTTAACCAGTCTGGCATTTTACAACAGCAATTGTTAGGAACGGAAGTGGTATTTGTATGGCCTGTGAGCAGTTTAGATTAAACTGCTTGGCATGGCTTCTGAAATCCAATTCTCTCAAATAATGCAGAGTCTTAGCACTGCCACTTTCTCACAGAAGTGATGCTGTGTTATGATTTCTTCTGTTCTTCACTAGGCTAGGTGGATAACCTGAGAGAATAAAAATGGATTAAAATATGCCATAGAAAGCTGATGTCCAAGTTTGAAGAAATTAATGCTTTCATCCTGAAGAGGCTCCTTGACATTGGAAGCAATCTTGTCTGAAGGGATTGGCTGAATTCAAATACCAGCTCTCATCACCTCTTTTTGGCTCTACTCTGTTGTGAGATGGTCCTTGGAGTATTCTCCAGTTTATCAGCGTTAATATATATTCTACCAGATGGTATAGTAGTTGGCCTAAAAAAAGACATTACCTGTACCTGCAGTCCTTGTCCTGGAAACTTTCAGAGCTTCTTAAAGATAGCATAAACACTCATTAGTAACTTCTAAAATTATCTCTTAATTCTGCCAGAGATTGTTGAAAATTAGAATAGTTTTACATTAACTTCGTATTTGTGTCTCACCAAATTCTCTCACAAGTCCAGCTTCTTAAATATTTAAATAGTTAAATTTAAAGTTCGTCCCTGCATTGTAATGATCAACAAAAAAAGATGATGCCTTTTTCATCTCTAACCTCACTTTGCCAGTGATTCTTGTTAGTGAGTTTGGTGAATTACTTCAACATTGGCAGGTAGCTAATCAATTCCCCAATTGTCCATGTAATTACCTTGACCCAACTTTTGTCTGCTGTCTTGCCAGCAGTCACTGGAATGGATTCCCTGTGGAGCTAATTGCCTCAAACTTTGATGCTCCCATTTCCTTGCCAACTTCACCTCTAGCCCTTAAGTGCTTTGTGACAGACTTTGACAAGACAGAAAGTGCTTACTGTATTTGAAGTTCATGGATTACGTCAGAACCTAGTTGCAGAAAGACCTTTTGGATTTGTTTTGGAGTGGGAAATCTGAAATAGCTTTCTCATCCTGAAAACCCTTCTTCTGCCCCATTACATTACGCTCCTTACCAATCTTTGTCTCTTTTACAGTGAATCCTTAATGTTTCCGTGCCATGTGGCTTAGGTATATGGATGGCTTCTGGGAAGGTAGAGGAGGACAAGAAAGTTTGCATTTGTGTAAAACTGGTGCCTAGTATAAGCTCAAACAGCCTTTTTGTATGGTTAGTTTCTTTTGATAAAATGGTTGCAAGGTTTAAAACCCTACCTGTATACAACAGTTACAATCTCCAGTTAAAAAAAAAAACAACACACAAATCTTCCCATTGATTGGTGATACAAAGTAAAACCTACTGTCCTTAGCAATAACACATCCTTAAAAACATGGAGTGAAAGGATGTCCAAGTGAAAGCATTGTTAGAAGTGTATAGCTGGTTTGGAGGTTAGTACAAATGCATTGGAGTTGGGAAATGTCTTACCAATTAGGAGGTGTCACTCTGATGCATCTCTTCTGTCTGTCACTGTGTGACAGAAAGCAGATGTTTCAAAAGAGCGTCTTTTAACTACCTTGACTGTCTCTTGTAATTAAATAACTAAATTATTAAATAATTAAATAACTGAATCAGTTTTGATTAGCAGTGAAAAAGATAAATGCGAGCTATCATGCTATCTTGGGGTGACATGTAAAGTGGCTAATAAGTACCAGTAAAAATGTAGCCCCCCCCTAAAGTTACAGTAATCATAATAATAGAATTAACATGTTCTGCATCAGCAGCACACCCTGTCCCCAGTACGGAGGTCAGTAGCACCATAAGCTACCAACGTCAATGTGTAAATTATAGTGCACTTGTATACTCTGTGTATACTTGCTGTATCAGGCTACTCTTTTTTTTAACCATTTGATTATTTTTCTGCATGTGCTTTCTTTGCATGCTGCTCTTCTTGTTCAGAAGATCATGCACCCTCTAGTGTGTTTGTGTACATGTACGTATTGGAGAAAAATGTATCAGTATTTGTAACCTCTCAGTAACACAGCTTTCCTCAACGTGTTTGAAATACTGCCCTCTAAGAATTCTGTCTTTCTAAATGGCTTGGATGCCAGAGGTTGATAGATAGGCATGTTATCCTTCCTAGGTTTAGCTGCCATTTTTTCTCTCAAGTACCAAGTGCTAAAATAATGTACTGTCTGAATCTGTAGCCTAAAAATTTGAATGAGCACTCTTTTTGGTGACGAATAAGTGAGACAGTCATTTTACAATTAAGTGGTGGGACTTGGAACCCTGTCTGCTTCCTTAACTTAGGTTGAAAAAAGACAGGACAAGTAAGCTTACATTAAACTTGTGGGCACTGATGTGATACGCTTTACTGTTTTGATAGTTTCTCCTACCAAAAAGGTAATTCCAGTGTTTAAAATTGTGTGTAAAATTGTGTTCTTAGTGTTTGGAGAAACCTCGAACACAACATCTTACATTAAGATACAGTATCGTCAAGTATAATGTTGTTAAATAGCTGTGACAATCCCTGAAATGGCCTAATGTTTATACATTCAGATTATTTGTTCTTCCTGCTTTGCCTTTTAAAACAACTTTGCAGATATTCCTAGTTAGAAAGAAACTATCCAAAGCTTCCATGGTACTGCCTGAAGCAGTTCACAGACATGGTAGCATGGTGGCACTGTAGAACTTGGTTGTTTTCCTCTGTAAGTTTTAGTAATGATGTATCACCATGATTTTTATCTCAACATGTCATTTTGACAGTTTAAGTGAACAAACTCAGTTTCAGGAAGGGCTGGATTAATTTCCAGAAAATGTCACATTTTTCCTAGGCTGTTTTGCTCAGGTATATTGCAGTGCATCCCTGGTATGTTCAGATCTGAGATGAGTACAGATCATTCAATATCCCTGAAGAACATGCCAGTGTAGGGTCACGGTAGATACTCAATAGTATCTACGGCTGTTTGAGCATTTTGCTATGCTTCCTTATGTTTGTTTCCATTTAAAGCATTGAGCTTTTTTAATGTGTGTGCAAACATGGATATGCTACGGTTAAGTACAGTTCCAAAAATACAGAAAGTGGACCACACACAATCCTGATGTGGAAATGTCCATACCAACCTGGCAGTGCTTGCTGTGTGAAAAACAGATGTGTGTAGCTCCAAGGAAAAACATTTTAGTGATTTATTTTTTTTTTCTCAAGTAGAATAAAAGTGAAGAGCTACTTTTTAAGGCAGGGCCAATTTTCTCTCTCAAATCAAGTATTAGCTCTTATAAAGTCAAC